ATATGGTTGGTGAGCGGGTTCTGCTTCGGGTCTCGCCTATGAAGGGCGTCATGAGGTTTGGAAAGAAAGGGAAGCTGAGTCCGAGGTTTATTAGCCCTTTGAGATCTTGAGGCGAGTTGGGGAGGTTGCTTATGAGCTTGCCTTACCTCCCAGCTTGGCCGGAGTTCATCCGGTATTTCATGTTTCGATGCTCCGGAGGTATCGCGGTGATCCGTCGCACGTGTTGGATTTCAGTTCAGTCCAGTTGGACAAGGATCTATCCTATGTTGAGGAGCCAGTGGCTATTTTGGACAGGCAGATCAGGAAGTTGAGGTCAAAGAACATAGCTTCAGTAAAGGTCCAGTGGCGGGGTCAGCCGGCCGAGGAGGCGACTTGGGAGACCGAGCAGGATATGCGCAGCCAGTACCCTCATCTTTTCACTTCTTCAGGTATGCTCTCTATGCTCGTTCGAGGACGAATGAATGTTTAAGTGTAGGAGGATGTAACGACCCGGCCGGTCGTTTTTGGAATTTACGCCCCCGATCCCCCATTAACTGCTTCCCCTAAATTCATTTCTGCTATTTTGGTTTGCCGAGACGTTCGGTGTTGGGATTCGGAGTGTTTTGGGACACTTAGTCCCTAAATGAGAGCTTAAGAATTGAAAAATGGTCCGTAATCGGAACAGTGTGAAGACGACCTCGGAATGGAAATTCGATGGTTCCGTTAGCTCCGTTAGGTGATTTCGGGGTTGGGAGCGTGTTCGGAATGTATTTTGGAGGCTCGTAGCTCATTTAGGCTTGAAATGCCGAAGTTTGAATTTTTAAAGTTTCCAGTCCGATAGTGAGTTTTTGATCCGAGGGTCGGATTGGAATTCCGAAAGTTGCACTAGCTTCTTCATGTCATTTGGGATGTGTGTGCAAAATTTCAGGTCATTCGGGCGAGGTTTGGTTTGGTTTTTGATCGAAAGTGTGTTTTGTTGGAATTTGAAGTTCTTAGGCTTGAATCTTTGATTTAATCGGACTTCCGGTGTTGTTTCAGGTGTTTTAAGGATTGGTACAAGTTTGAATAAGGTATTAGGTGGTATTGGTGCTTTTGGTTGAGGTCCCGGGGGCCTCGGGATGATTTCAGGTGGTTAACGGGGAGATTTTTGAGGTGTTGCAGCAGCTGGTTCTTTTCATCTTCTGGTATTTTCGCTTCTGCGGCTTGGGAACCGCAGAAGCGGACCCGCATAAGCGGCTGGATCATCGCAGAAGTGGTTTGGGGTAGAGTTTCCAGGCGTCGCAGATGCGGAGGAAATTCCGCAGGAGCGGCCTCGCATCTGCGAGAAAATAGCCGCAGATGCGGCCGTTTGGCTTTTAGTTGGAACCGCAGAAGCGGTGGATAATCCGCATAAGCGGTTGACTGGACCGTAGAAGCGGATGTGGTCGTTTAGTGAGAGTCGCAGAAGCGGCTCACTTTTCGCATAAGCGGGACCGCAGAAGCGGTCCCTTGTCCGCAGAAGCGGAAATCCCTGGGCAGAAATAGAAATTTCGAGGGTTTGAGTTCATAAGTTACAAAAATCAATCAAGAGCTCGGTTTAAGGCGATTCTGAGTGGGATTTGAAGTGAAGATCACTGGGTAACGTTTCTTTGGTCCCTTCTTGTTATATTTCATCATTATATAGTTAAATCCACCATTAGAATTCGAATTCAAGGTCGAAAATTTGGAAAAAATTGGAAGAAACTTCATAGACCTAATTATTGAGTTTTGAGTAGGCAATTGACCTCCGATTTGGGAGATTTTTATATGGTTAGACTCGTGAGAGTACGAGGGTTCTGAAAATGTGAAAATTATTCGATTCCAAGATGTTGGTCTGAGGGGCGTTTTGGTCATTTTACCTATTTTCGCGTCCTAGCTTTAAATTTAATAGTGGGATCAGTTGTTTGCAATATTACTTACGATATGTAATTGAATTGAATAGATTTGGGCCATTTGGAGTCGGATACTCGTGGCAAAAGTGTGATTTCGAGTTGATTTTGGTGCCGATTCGAGGTAAGTGGCTTGTCTAACCTTGTGTGGGGGACCTTTCCCCTTAGGATATGATATGTGGTAATTGAGTGCCTTGTACGTGAGGTGACGAGCGCGTGCTTGAGCTAATTGTTGAAAAATTCGGTTTTCTTAAGATATTGAGATTGAGTTCCTTTCATATTTGCTTTATTCTACTTGTAGTTATAACCTGTGTTAGATTAGAAAATCATGTTTAGTTGATTTAACTTGCCTAATTGTTTAAGTTGCCTTGCCTGTACTACGTGAAGCATGCTAGGCTAGTACTACCTGATGTTTGTCTTTTGTACTTCATTTCTGAATATCTTCTAGTTGTGGTTGCGCATTTACATTGGGACTACGGATGTGGGATTCCGGTAGCTCCCCCCTTGTTTGTTTACTTTGGGACTACGGGTTCGATTCCTGGTAGATCCCCCTGCACTTTTACTTTGGGACTACGGGTTAGATTCCCGATAGATCCCCCTGCACCTTGATAGTTAGACTACGGGACGGTATCCCGGGAGATCCTTCGGATATACACATATGATGGACTACGGGACGGTATCCCGGGAGATCCACTGGGCAGTTGAGAAAAGGACTACAGGACGGTATCCTGGGAGATCCTTATTGTTACCATTGGTATTGAGCTGTACTTATTATGTGGTTGTTCCGTTCTTGTGTATTTGCTATTGCCTTGGTTAACGTGTCTTATTTCACTGCTGTCTTTATTATTTCTAGATTATCATCCTGTTATTTACAGTTATTACTATATTTTGTCTCAGTATGGCCCTGACCTTCCTCGTCACTACCCAACCGAGGTTAGGCTTGGCACTTACTGAGTACCGCTGTGGTGTACTCATGCCCTTCCTGCGCGTGTTTTTCATGTGCAGATCATCCAGGTACCTCTACTCAGGCGCCCTATCAGCGAGGCAGGAGGACTACGTAGACTTCGAGGTAGATCTGCTGCGTCCGCAGACCGACGAGTCTCCCTCTTATTCTATCTTTAGTACTTAGTTTTTCCTTCTTTCGGTTGTTAGAAATTCTGGAGTTTGGAACCTTTACTATACACTTCTGTAGCCTGTGTTGCCCGTGAGTTTCCGGGTTTTGGGAATTGTTTTAGACTTGTGATATTGAGTTATACTTGCCAAGCGGCATTCAGTACAGTTTCTTTTAGATATTTGATTTGATTTTCTCTATTTTTCTGCAATTAATATATTTCCGCAAATGTTAGGCTTACCTGGTCATGGGGGCCAGGTGCCGTCATGACATGTTCATGGTTGGTGAACTAGGATCGTGACAATATATCAGTACACATAGTAAATGACATTGATTTTTATGACTGTTTTATTGTAGAAGACAACTACTTCAGACAGAAAACACAACAGATGAAACAGAAATTAGGCTTCTGGGAATATGCTCATCCATTAGCTCATGAATTCTTTATTTTTGCAGCTTCTCCAATCCCGTAACCCAAGCTGGCCTAGCCAAAATATCAGCACACCATGCACTCACACGAGGGCGCGAATCAAACACTTCCTTAACTTTTGAACTCATCAAGTAATATATATTTGGGATGTGGTGCAAATCAACCAGTGTAAAAGAGTCTCCACCTAAGTATTTTGACTCTGCCAATCGAGTTTCGTATATGTCAAGAACCTTAGACAATTGCGCTTCGCTTTCCTTCACAGCAGCATCATCTGTGGTCATGCCGATAATTGGTTTTATGCCTAGTTCCCAGGTTAATTTTGAAGCCGGTGGTTCAAATTTTTGGCCTTCTACTTCCATCCATACTGACATAATGGGCATCTTCTTTGGATCTTGGAGTATTAGTTGATAGCCATTGTCAGCATAAACATGAGCAATGTATTGGGTGATTGCCCTTGATTCTGCATTACAAGTTCCCAATTTATCATTTCAAATTAATAGTGTAAAAAATCAGGCCGCCTATAAGATGTGGCGAAATCAGGTATTTATATAAAGGGATTTAAATATTATGTTAGAATGTCTTAGGATTTGAACTTATGAGCTAGAGCAACTTCTGAACCTCCTTTACGGCTTTACCATTACACTAGCTCTGCCCCTACTTATAAGGTAATTATACGTAAAAATATCTAAAATAATCATTAATTAGTAACTAGTAGGTATAATAACTAACCTGCTACAATAGGGTAAGATTACATCAACAGAATAGTGTAGAAAATCTTTACACTATTTGTATATAAACTTAAATCCTTTCAAATTTTGTCACCTTTGTGCTGATATATATAAATTGCAAGAATAGCAAAAGTACTTACCAAAGAGCTTCAAGTCCCCATCTTCAAATGCTGGTACTTGACCAAAAGGCTGCATCGGTTTGAAAAAATCTCATTTTTAGAGAGGGGGCATGAATCCATGTTCAAAGCTAAAATTGCGGAAAATGATAAAATGAGACATCTTTATCAATGGTCAATTGCAATATGCTGAAAAGTGGAATGGTGGTAAGTAGAGGCAGACGGAGACTATATTCAATGGGTTCAACTGATCTCAGTATTCTTTTTCCGGAACATAAATATATATGTAAATAATCACTAACAATAGACTTAATGTAATTATGCTTACATTGAGGGAAAGGTAAGGGTGCTTCTTGTGTTCGCCAGAGGCCATATCAACGGAGACAAACTCAAAATCCAGCTCCTTCTCGATTAGGCAAGCAGCAACTCTCATGGTTGCAGTTGACATGGGGCTACCATGGACTTTGATCGCCATAATTTCTGGATGACAGCTAAAGATAAAGAATAATAAATTAGGATTGTGACAGATATATTGCTTGAACTTGATGAAAGAAGGTTATGTTATGGAGGTATATATAGGGTACGAGGTAAAATTTCTTTATGTCATTCTTTAATAAAATTATCCCAAAAGTCTTGGTGGCTAAACAAACCCTTAAATGCTTTTAATTAAGATGCTAATACCGTGATCTTGAGATGGAGAAAGACTTATTAATAATCTGATTAGGTAAGTAATGACCTCACAAGTCTCCTCATATTGTTGACCAAATGATATTTCTTAATAATAATGGTACAGTCCTTTTACCTGCTGCATCTTCCTTCCAGGAAAGTACTTTGGGTAATTACATATCTGCTTCTATCAGGATGCACGTTCTCTTTGATATTATACACTGATATGAAATAGTCAATCACAGATGATGACATTTAAAAGCCAAAAAGTAAGGCGAAACTATTTTATGTAAGATGTTGGAATAGATTTTAACTGTATTTGAACGTTGACAAACAAGTTGGATAGCACACATTGACTACTTCAAATTATAGTAGAAGTGTGAAAGATAAGGTTCCCAAAGTAAATCTTAAAAAAAAAAAAAAAAAAAAAAAAAAAAAAGAAAGAGGGGGGAGGGGGAAGACCAGCCGCTGTAATTTGCTGAAATGTTGTCTGAGACGGGTTGTGCAAATGTGGGAGGTGCGGAAACTTCAACACTTATAGTTATCAATTTTATGCCATAACTGGCTATTTAGTAAGAATTAACCAAAAACATCATATCAGGAGTTCCCGTGAGGCCAGGCATAATCTACCTGAAAATAAGATAAAAATGAATGCAAAACTTTGAAAGGTGAACGTTTCTTCGTCCACTTGTATGGAAGAATGAAGCGAGGAAGTCAAATGTCCCTTCTCCAGCTAATTAATCAATATTCTTCCTCCATTGATCAAGAATTTCCATTTTATGGGAAGTACCATGATCCTCTAATTAAATAAGGGCTAGAGTTTCAACATTTTTTACACACCAAACTCTTACATGAGGATGAGAATTAAATGCATCCTTGGATATAGTTCCGATTAAGTACTGTAACTGGGACATAGTGCATATCTGCCAGGGGAAGCTGTCTCCTCCCAAGTTTTAATTCCCTTAGTCTCACCTCGTATACATCAAGGATCTTTCCAAGATTGTCTTTATTTTCTGCCACAGTTGCATTGTCCTTCACCATGCCCAACAATGGCAGCTCGAAGCTCAGTTTTTAAGCTACAAGATCGAACTTTGTTGATTCAACATCCATCCACACTGACATGATGACCAATTTCTTTGGCTCCTGCCCTAACTACTGATTTCCCTTTCTGCATACATGTGGTCATTCTATTGGATAAGATCTGTGATGAGCCTACTTAAAGAGCATAGAAAGTCAGGACTAGAACTCCCACCAATCCAATGAGGCTCAAAATAAATAAAGTGATCCGATCACCTTCATACATTTAGCAGTAGTCTCGGATAAAACTCGTGTCCAAAAAGGACAAAATAAGCTTCTAATATATTGTAATCTATAAGGCAAATAGAGGGGAAGGGCAAAGTACAACATTTATTTCTAAAAACCTTGCTATTACCTTGGTATAAAATGCGATCCAAGGACTAAATCTGAGAGAAATATGCACATAAAATGATAGACTCATCTTTCTCATTCACGTGTACCTCTTTCCTGCACCAGAAAAAATCACCCCGGGGAAAATATCACATAGCATTCTTTAAGCAATACAAAAAAGTTTAGTAAAACGTGCAGCTTTTACCAACATGGAGACATTGGCATATGCACATCCACAACAATGGTCTAAAGAATAATTTCCAAGGACAACGCCAGAACTTATCTCCGGACTAGGAGGGGCTAAAAGCAATCTAGCTATATCTGCTATTTTGTTTTGATTAAAGTATAGTTATTCCGCTACTACCAAAAGATGTTCTAGGCATTTCAACCATAACAGTTTAGCTTGGGTAGTAAAAGCTAGCCAGCTCACTCAAACCGGTACCAAAGAATTCCAGCCAAACAAAATAAACAAATATCGAAGAAAGAAGTATTAGAGCCGCTCCTACCAAGGCTGATGTATGCGGATAAAATTCCCTATTTCCAGCTCGACATCTTTACAGATTCTTGAGCTAAAAATGATAGTTAACTTCCTTCCTCCAGTACCCTTTCTTTTTTGAGGATTGCTCAGGCATTCAGTACCCTGCAAAGAAACCTAAAATTGTAGATAGCATTCACCCAACACCATAAATCTATTCTGTTTAACCAATGAAAACATCACCACCAGCCAGACTAGTAACAAACAGTAAATAAAATATTGGAACACACTTTTCATTCTTAAAAGTTCCCATACAACGAAATGACTAGCCAGATGGTAAAAAACTTATTTCTTTTCCTCCTAGACCTACGTGCTCGGGGATTGAGTACTGATTAGTGTTTGTCTGATTTTTAAGATTTCACATATTTCAACACAAAAAGTAAAACCTATATAATTCGATTTAATCTGCATAGATAATCTTCCACTACAAATTATGTCCATGGATTGTAAGCGACCAGTGAAGCTCAAATAAACCATATCAATCTTCATGCAGGCGCTATACCCAACAAGGCACCTTTTAGCTTTTTTTCCTTTATATGATAGTGGTGGCAAAAAGAAGCTGTCATGCTCTTTTGAAAATATACAGTAGACGTGAGTTGAGAGGAGCAGGTTGAGATGAGTATGTAAATATCTCAAGCTTGGACTCTGAGAAGTCAAGCTCAAGCCGTAAATACTACAAGGAATATATTTCTGAAAGAGTTTACAAGGAAGCCAACACACTAAATCACAATAAACACCATACTATTCCATGACTGCAATTCTTAAAAAAAATGAAAATGCAATTCATTGAGAAATATAATTCCAGATGCTTCCACTTATTAGACATTTCAAAGAACACTCACTACCATATTTGTTTGTTGAATCTGCACGACCTGTTTCTTACAGTTCTTCTGAGGGTAACGGTCTAAAGAAAGTTAAGAAACCATGATAGTTCACTCAAAGCTCCTACCTGAAATGGAAGTTTTTGGTTCAGAAAGGAAGCATAAAAGTAAAATTCCCACACCCCAGCATCCACTCTCCTATGCTACCTTACCTGACTTTCTATTCTAGGCAACAACCTGACTTTGACTTTTACAAGTTGCCTATTTACACGTGAAAGTTGGGCTATAATTAAAACAAGTACCAACATTTTCTTCTTTAAAAACTAGTGAGAGCAAAAAAAGCATGCTCATGACCTTCAAAAAGTTGAAAGGAGCATCTTATTCTCAATAAAGTAGACGTACACATATTCTTAACTTTCTGTTTAGCATACGTACAATAGTTAGTCCAAGTACCTCTTCATCTCCAAGTAAAGCACAAAAACAAACAGTCAGCTTGGCCTCCAAAGAACATGACAAAATTCTCACATCAATGAAGCTTTTTGCACCTGCAATAACAGCAGAAGAGGTCAGAAACATGCAAGAGGAAAGAAGATATACAAGTTTGGCCTTTTACCACTTGAAGCATCATGTGTTTGTGACTTCTCCAAGAAATATGTATCTCTGTCCTTTTCACATTGCATTAGCTGCTGCAACTTTCCAGATAATCTGGCATGACATGTCAATGTAAGTGAGAAAAGATGAAATTTGAAGATTTTTTTCTGTTTCATCTGTTCCTAGAAAACGTGCATAATATGCTCATTACTGACACTTTCTAGTTCCATACTAACCCGAATTGCCTAGGCCTTGCAATAGACAGCCTCTCATTCGTAGATACAGCTCCTAATGCTAGATGAAATTGGTCAGCCATGGTCCTCTGAGGTATAGCAGGCTGCAGAATCTGGGGAATTTCCTGAAACAAAAAAGAAAAGAAAAAAAGAAAAAAACATTGAGAGAACTACCTATGCAACTGATCGCTATGATAAAACAGTAAAAGATTAACTACATATTACATCCTCGTCGGTAGATGAGTCACTATCTAGTGCCTCAGGTTGGTCGTCATTGCTCATGTTTCTGTCACCGAGCAGCAATAAGTTTCTCTTCTGTAAGAACCGTGATCCTTGTCTTTTTGTTTGCAGCTGCTGGTTAAAACATGATCTTTACATTCACGAAATAGTAAAAATGGTAATACAGAAGTGCTAATAAGATCTTTAAGATAAGAGATATGGAACAGAAGAAAGCAAACCATTCTAGAATTGCCTTGTGGTCGGGAACTTGTATGCTGAAAGTGATCCAGAAACTCGGCCATGGAATGTTCATTTGGATCATGTACAACTGCTACTTCAGATGGCACCAAATGCTTCTGGAACTGTTGTATTTCATTTCCACCAAAATCCTCCTCGAACTGCTGTATGTCATTTCCACCAAAATCCTCCTCGAACTGCTGTATTTCTTTTCCACCAAAATCCTCCAATAAGTCATCCAGTGCCTCTATATTATTTCTTTGCATGTCTAATTCTACATTTAGGGGAAGAACAGATAACGGTGTGCTGGTTTGACAAGTATCATGGACAACCAAAGCAAAATCCTTCTTCAGCGGCCAGGATTGGAACAAAAATTTGGGCTTAGATTTGCCCCGGCGTCCTGCAGTTGATTGCAAAAAAAATATTTTAAAGTACAGCTTGAAAACCCAATGGATCACAGATCTCAAGTAAAGAAAAAGACCATCATAGATGTGAGACTTGGGGATTCAATGTTAAGATGCATCCATTTTTTTTCTATTTTGCTTGGAATCCATGAGCTCTTGTTCTTGAGAAGCACCACTACTACACATGTTATGCTAGTTAGTGACAGTCTAGTTCAAGACAACTAAACCAACTATGATCAATAATGCTTGATAAGACCAAACTTCTCATCAGTTGAGTTGACGACATCATTAGTATCAAGACAGAGGATGCAAAATAGGGAAATGAAGTTGACAGAAGTACTAATACCTTTAGATGATCTGTTCAACTTTGATGAGGCACTGTACGACGATGAAGAACCAGCATCTTTATTCAAGAAAACTCCTGATTTGCATTCTGCACTAACTTTAGGCAATGTGCTTTTACCATCTCTTCTTAAATTTCCATCAGCAGAAGGCCTCATCTGCCAGATATTTTAACCTCAAAAAGAGCCAATTAGTATTTGTTGAACACAACATTAAGTAATCAAGTGTTAGTGACATTGATTTTGTAGGCATAGAGTTTTCAGTCATACCTCATCATCGGACATAATTTCCTCTTCTGAATTAGAAGTAGGTGTCGTTCTAGAAACGTGACTAAATCCGTCATCTAAGCAGCAAGACAATGCCATCCAGTGGTCGTTTTTGTTGATGAAGTCACCACCCTGACTCTTAAAAGAAGGAACTTCAACGTCATCTTCTTTGCATAAGCCTGTTTGCTTCTGCTAACAGGAAAGCAAAACAACTGTAAGAGGAGTTGGTCATTTGGACCTTTTATTGTTTATCATTTTTGTGTATCTCCACTTAGTAACTGATCCCTTTTGCGGATGGGATACACATTGTGACAGTACAAGCCTCCAGCCTCAGTTACTAAAGTTTGTCCCTTAAACTAGATGATTCCAGAAGAACAGGAGAAGAAGTGGAGAGCAACTTTTTTCTGAACTCCCCGCCAAAAAGTATTTCCATGTTGAATTCTCAACCACCATGAACCATTAACGCCGATTAGGAAATAACTCTTTAACATAAATTTAACCCAAAAAAAAGGAAAAGAAAAAGGACCAAAGGAACAATAGAAGGAAGAAATGAAGGTAAAGAGAGCAAAAGGGAGGTAAATTCAACCAATACCAGCTGATGAGAATTCAATGTGTGGGCTGAGTGATGAAGTCTTTTGACATCTGCACAAGATTAACATGGATAACTTTCAAACACCCTTTTCTTTTCTTTTTTCTTTTTTCTTTTGGGAGGGTGATGGGTGGGGTGGGTGGGGGGATGTTGAGAATGAAAATTCAAGTGGATGAGTCGGCTGCCAGATAAAAGTTTCACTGAGAATACCTGTTAGTAGTTCAAGCTGGGAAAGGACTCCAATACCTCCCTGACAAACAAGAAACATCAGACTCTTGGGCATTATAAAGTATTCATGAGCAAATAGATACAAAAAATAAGGAAAGCAGGAAAAAATCAAATAGCCTAACTTAAAAATTGTGCAGTAAACATTGTGGTCATTGTGATTAAAAACTAAACAGTTCATCTCAACTATAATTTAATTGCTAATGATCTAAGCCCAAACAGAAACCTAACCCCTCCAATGCATTATGAAAATTGTTAGAAAGCAAGATAAATGTGCCAAAAAATCATACAAGGAAGCACCACTTTAACAATCAATCAACCAACTAGACTAATTGGGGTTGGCTATATGACTCCTCTATATCCATTCTGCTTTTCATGCGCCCATTTTCATTCTAACAGTAAACAAATTATCAAGATTAGTTGGTCTAGGACTCATCCTAATTGTAGATTGAGGAAACTTAGGGGACGCATTAGGAAGTTAGTTGGAAGGGGCACGTGATTCTGTTATAAACAGTGCCCTTCCACTAATTAGTTAATCACTCTCTCATTTTTACACAATACACAAAAATGCTCTCACTTCTCTCTCTAGATTCTTCTTTCAATTCATCTGTGAACTTGATTGCATGTTGTTGGATTTAGTCTGCTCAGCTGAGATTCAACAAACTAACAGAAATTGTCTTAAATAAATGATAAAGTAGGGTTTCTCGAGAACATTATACAAGGCAGCTAGCCTTTTAACCCGTAAAAAGGAGAGGAATGTGAAAATGTAAGCAACAAAACACATGAGGCATATACCTTGTTTCCTGAGGGTCCACTCAGAGAATTGTCATTTGTCAGCCATTTGTCATCATCCATATCCTCTTCTTCTGATAATTTCAAACAACACAAAAGCAGATTCAATTAAAAGAACAAACTAAGCTAGGTTTATAATTCCGAAGATTAATTTCTAAAGGAGGAGAAGATACCGGAAACACTCTGGTCAGAATCTTGCTTTTCCTACATTATGATTGGACAACGTTGGGGTAAGGCAGTTTAAATTTCATGGGAGACATTGAAATCAATCAAAAGTAACACAAAATTCGCTTGAAAATAGCAGATAACCCTAAACTGTAATCGACGAGAGAATAGCCGATCGGTGAGCTGGATATCGGAAATTATGAAGTAATGGAATAGAATGAGGTTCGAAGAATTCAGAATACCTGAAGAAATCCACTAGTGGCAGCTAAGCCTCCCTCTTCCATAGCTTCTGACAGGCAAAGACGCAATTTTGCAAGCTGATTGGGGAAGTGGCGGGAAGTTTAGACTAATAAGTAATAACGGAGTAATATCTTCCTAGTAATTTTTTTTTTCTTACTCCCTCATTTTTTATTTACTAGTGTTATGTAGCCAGATCTCAAGTCAATCTTGGAAAATACCTTGGCACCCTAAAGCTGATCGAACAAATCATCAATCCTCGGTAGCGGATACTTATTCGTGATTGTTACCTTGTTCAATTGCCGGTAATCAATACACATTCTCATTGACCCATCCTTCTTCTTGACAAATAACACAGGCGCACCCCAAGGCGAAACAATGGGTCTAATGAAACCTTTCTCAAGCAAATCCTGCAACTGGTCCTTTAACTCTTTCAACTCCGGCGGGGCCATACGATATGGCGGAATAGAAATGGGCTGAGTGCCCGGAGCCAAATCAATGCAAAAATCAATATCTCTGTCGGGTGGCATACCCGGCAGGTCTGAAGGGAAAACAACAGGAAACTCCCGGACAATGGGCACAGAATCAATAGAAGGGACCTCAGCACTAAATCACGAACATAGTCAGCCAGTATGGGCAGTCTTGCTTATATTCCGGTCGGTGAGAGGCCGCTTGCTTTGGATGTTCAGGGCTTTAGCCAATCAGTTCGTGAGACTGGATGTTTCTGAGCCCAGTCGTGTGTTAGCTTGCACGGTCGACCCAAAGGGTCATCACCTGTTTTCTTACCCATTCTGTACTTCCGAGGCCTTGAAAACCTCATTTAGGGTTGCCTCGATTTGCGTGCACAGTCCGGGCGCGTAGCCGGAAGGCTTAAATATGAATTCTGTGAGAAAAATGCTAAATTTTGATATTAAAATGAATAAATTTGACTTCGGTCAACATTTTGGGTAAACGGACCCGGACCAGTGATTTGACGGTTCCGGAGGGTCTGTAGGAAAATATGGGACTTGGGCGTATGCCCGAAATCAAATTCCGAGGTCCCAAGCCCGAGAAATGAATTTTTCTGTGAAATTATTTTCTGGAAATAATTAAGAAAATTGGAAATAAAATTTGATTAGAAGACTATGGTATCGGGTCCGTATTTTGGTTCCGGCGCCTGGTACAAGTCTTATATATGATTTAAGCACTTTCTGTAAAGTTTGGTTGAAAACGGACGTCGTTTGACGTGTTTCGGACTTAAAATAGAAATTTGATGTTTTATGAAAATTTGGAAGGAATCATGGATTTTGAGGCTTAATTCGATGTTTATGATGTTATTTTGGCGATTTGATCGCGTGAATAAGTCCGTAGGATGTTTTTGAGGTTGTGTGTATGTTTGGTTTGGAGCTCCGAGGGCTCGGGTGACTTTTGGATAGGCCACGGGGTGAAATTTTGTACTTAAGGAATTGCAGGCCTACAGGCTTCGCATTTCCCAAACTTTGCTCGCAATTCTCAGGATTTTTCGCATTTCCCAAACTTTGTTCGCAATTACCAGGCTTCGCATTTCCCAAACTTTTCTCGCAATTCCCAGGCTTGTTCTCATTTCCCAAACTTTGTTCGCAATTCCATTCGCAATTCCCAAACTTTTTTCGCAATTACCAGTTCGCAATTCCCAAACTTTGTTCGCAATTCCCATATCTCCAACCTGCATTTTTCATACTTAGTCGATTTTTAAGACATTTTCACCCCATTTTCAAAACACAACTCCTTTGGCCGATTTTTTAAGAACAAACCTTCTTCCAAATGAATTGTAAGTTGATTTTACTCATTTCTTTCAATCATTAACATCATTTAACATGTTTTCAACTTAAAATCAAGGATTTTCATTGGTGAAATTGGGGATTTTGGGTAGAACTTAGGTTTTTCTAAAATTGGGGATTTGGACCTCAATTTGAGGTCCGGTTCAAAACAAATTACATATTTGGGTTCGTGGGGGAATGGATAACCGGGTTTTGGTTCGAACCTTGGGTTTTGACCACGTGGGCCCGGCGGCGATTTTGGAATTTTTGGGAAAAACTTTGGGAAAATCATTTTTATGCATTCAAATTGATTCATTTAGTGTTTATTAAAGTAATTAAGTGACTTGTGACTAGATTCGAGCGGACTGGAGGTGGAATCACGGGGTAAAGCTATAGTTGAGGCTTGAGTTGAGTTCAAAGCATCGAGGTAAGTGTTCGGTCTAACCCTAGCTTGAGGGATTAGGAGTTGAGCCATAATTGCTACTTGTTTTGTGTTGAGTACGACGTATGGGCATAGTGACGAGTATCCATGCGTCGGTGTCGAGCATGACCGTGAGTCTTAATTTGATAATTGTGTACCCTTGTTTGATCCTGTGAAAGTTGTGACTGAATATTGGTATTAGTTGTGCCAAGAAGAAGTTGAATAGGATTGGTTATAGCTGACTCTCCCTTGTCGGGATGTTTGACTTGTTGTTATAGTTCCCTTGCCGGGAAGATTATTAATTTGATTGTTCCCTTGCTGGGATTGTATTGTGTATTGTATTGAAAGTAAAGGGAGCGGGTGGTACGCCTACCACAAGTGAAATTGAAATGGGAGCGGGTGGTACGCCTACCACAAGTGATATTGAAATGGGAGCGGGTGGTACGCCTACCACAAGTGAAATTGAAATGGGAGCGGGTGGTACGCCTACCACGAGTAGGGGTGTTCGTCGGTCGGTACGGTATGGTATTTAGATATTTCGGTTCGGTATTTTCGGTATTCGGTTTCTTAAAATCTTATACCAATATCGTACCCAATTAAATTCGGCATGGTTCGGTTTTTCTCATTTCGGTTTCGATTTATTCGGTTCGGTAACTTCGGTTTATTCGGTTTGAATACTAACTAGTGCATAGAGCCATGACTCTAATATTCTTAATTAATGCACTGAAAAATACAAAACTGAAAATGTTTGTTGACAAAAAATTTGTCCAAAACTAGCAAATATCGACCCAAATAGAGAAAATTGTACACAAAAGAATATTTGATCATTAAAAATATCTTGTTACTTGTTTAGAGTTAATTGATGAACTTAGAGAATGTAGGAAAGTTAAATTATAGATATTTTATATTTATGTTATAATTGATAATATGTGTTTTGTATAATATAATATATATTTCGTTATGGTATTGGTATTTCGGTATTTTATTTTAAAATACCAAATACCATACCTAATACCAATTTTTTTAAAAACTTAAACCAAATACCAAAATACCGTATACCAAATACCAAAATTTTCGGTTTCGGTATGGGAATTCGGTACTTACCAAATTATGCACAGCCCTAACCACGAGTGATATTGAAATGGGAGCGGGTGGTACGCCTACCACGAGTGATATTGAAATGGGAGCGGGTGGTACGCCTACCACGAGATATTGAGAAATGGGATCGGGTTGCACGCCTGCAACAAGATGAGTTGAATATGAAAGTTGCCTTATCTCTTCATTTATTGCTAGAAGTTAAACTGTAGATGTACGCTCTATTATTCCTGATATTTTATTTCTATCTGTTACCCCTGAAGCATGCTCCCTTCCCCAACTTAAATTGTTTATTCTTGCTATTTCTCTGTGGTACTTGTATATATATCTGCATAGGTTATCTGGAGTCTGGTCCTAGCCTCGTCACTACTTCGCCGGGGTTAGGCCAGACACTTACTAGCACATGGGGTTGGTTGTGCTGATACTACACTCTGTGCTCTTTTGCACAGATCCAGGTGTTGGACAGCAGCTGCAGTAGCGCGGGAGTTAGCCTTCAGTCCAGCGAGACACCGAGGTAGCCTTGCAGGCGTTCGCAGGCCCGGCGTCTCTTCTATCTTTTATTTCAGTCTGTTATCTCATGTATTTCGAGACAAACAGTTACATTTTCTTTCAAACGGTTGTATTTAGCACTCCTAGTAGTTCGTGAGTATGTGACACCAGTTCTTGGGTAGAGATTTATGTTGAGTTTCCGCATTGTTGTTCAGATTCGTTAATTTAAGACTTCTGCTTATTTACTTTATTCCGTTGTTTTCATGATATTACTGATAATTATTAAAAGAAGTAAATTGATTAATGCTAAAGGTAGTTAAGGGTTGGCTTGCCTAGCTCTCATCAGTAGGCGCCATCACGACTCCTGAAGGTGGGAAATTCGGGTCGTGACAAGCATTTTACATAGCTTGTAGAATTTCAAACCCGTACTGAATGCTCACAGGAGACAAAACAAGCCTAACGTCAGGATCTGCATCAAGGTTCTGCATCAAATGATGGCTCAAGGCCCATCCAACCACCTTCTCTGCACTTTCAACAGAAAAAGTCTGGTCTTTGATGAACAAAGTGTTAAGTCCATCACTGTCCAATCCATTCCAATTAAGAACTGTTCGCAAGCTATTCAAATTTCCTTTCATTTTTAGGGTATCAGCATCTCGATCCAACTTTTGCTTCCAAGCAGATAAAAGCGCTTCATCCTGTGGCGTGTGAATGGTCACTTTGTTGGGGAAAAGCTTCGTTAGAAGTTTAGTTGTCTTGGTAACTTCCTTCCCCCTGTCATGCAACTTCCCAAAACTATCCGGGAAAGCCAAATCGAGCAAGGCAGTTTGATTGCTGCCAAATTTGGTGAAGAGCAATCCCCCAGGATGTGACTTTTCCTTACGGTTATCTATATGAGCGTGAGATCCTATAACAACGATATTAGCAGGAAGCTTTTCAAGCCGACTTTTGAAAGTTGAATACGATTCTGAATTTCCTCCATAGATTTCTCAGCATTGATTGGCTAAAGCCTGAACATCCAAAGCAAGCGGCCTCTCACCGACCGGAATATAAGCAAGACTGCCCATACCGGCTGACTTCCTACTCAATGCATCGACCACCATATTGGCCTTCCCCGGATGATATAGAATGGTGATGTCATAATCCTTCAACAACTCCATCCACCTCATCTGCCTCAAATTCAACTCCTTTTGCTTGAACAAATACTGAAGACTCTTGTGATCCGTGAACACCTCACATGCCACGCCATACAGATAATGCCTCCAAATCTTCAATGCGTGAATTATGGCTGCCAACTCCAAATCATGAACCGGATAGTTCTTCTCATGAATCTTCAACT